ACGCACCGGAACCCTCCAATGTTCCATAATCATAATCAACATCAACACCAACATCATCATCATCATTATCATCATCATCACCATTATCATCTTCGACCTCGAAGTATATTCGAGGTCGATAATTGATACTGTCCATAATTAATGGACGTTCGTTGGCCAAAGAGTCAATTGCCCTATTGAACCAGTTAAGGACAATTGCTCTTTGGCTAACATCATTAATAATATGGAATTTTTCAGAGGTAGTTGAAAGGGCACTCTGTAATCTAGACCAGGCTTGGGTGCAGAGATGGAAAAACTCTCTTTCGAGATTTTCTTTCGAGTGATTGGGCTCTTTTTCTCCAATAACTGTTTTATTTTCTACAATTACGCTGTATTCGTTCATCACTTTGGAAAAAATTAGTTACTGCATATCCGGGTTATTATGTGATTATTTAGTATGATGCAATGCCTCCGGAAAATATGCATGGGTTGGTGCGCCACAGGCAATATAAAAATTTTTTAAAAATTTTCATCAGGTTATAATGTTCATTTTGCCGGAACAAGACATATATAAATTCCTGGTTATTTCTATAAAAATCCTAGTAATTTCTGGATATAAATCAAATCCATGTAATATTCGGATTCTAATATTTTGCACTTCGTCAAAATTTAGACCCGAATATTATCTGGATTTGATTTGTTTCCGGAAATTACTAGGATTTTATTGAAATAACCAGGAATTTATGACTTTTTCCGAAAAAATGAGCATTTCTGGAACGATAACTTGGTGAAAGTCGGGTATGTTTTTTTAAATTTTTTTATAGGGAATAAACGCTGAATAAGCATTGGAAAATTTTTAAAGATATTTGGCTCTGTTAAGTTGTAGAGCTACACTAGAACTTCATTAAAAAAAAAAAAAATCAATATAATTTTGCTTATTAGATAAGCTAAAGAAAGTAATATAAATAAAGTTATATGCGCTTATATCCCGAACTTAGTGATCGACCTTACGATTCGATTCATTAGTATATATATGTATATTTGAACATCCTAATATATTATCTAGAGCTTCATTATTTTCAGATTTAAACAGCCCAGTTTCAATAAATTTAGTTTCTCATTTTAACGTTAAACATTAAGAAAGCGAGATTTGAACCTTCATCCTTTAAAAGGCGGTTTGATAAATAGAACAAATAAAGGTTGGTCTTGGTTAGTGTAAGCATGATATAGTTGCCGTCCAAACTATTTGGGACGTCCCAAACCATGTGATGCTAATCATCACATGGTTTGAGTCGTCCACAAACAGTTTGGACGGCAACTATAAAGCATGATATGATGGTGTTACGACAATATATTTTATGTACTCGCAAAAAATTTTGAATTCTATCATAAAAAAATTTGGTTATATCAAAAAATTTATTTAATGTTCTTGATAGAGTATGTATTTTAATAAATTAATCCTTATAAAATTTGATTAGTGTTCTTAAGAACTTTCACACACTAGCTACGATCCGGTTAGAGACTTATGTCAAGGAAAGTAAGGCCATCCATTTATATAATATGAAGAGTTTACGAGTGCGA